TTCTCTTCTCTTCTCTTCTCTTCTCTTCTCTTCTCTTCTCTTCTCTTTCCAGGCATTTATCTATTCCTTTCCCTCTCTTTCTGTCATATCTTTTCCAATAGGGCTGGAAGGAGAATTCCTCCATGGAATCCCCAGTGTACATATTTCGTGAAGAGCTGGGTCCCACCTGCCCCCCAGGTTTTTGCCCTTTTCCAAGCAGGACCAGCCACAGCTGGCTTGCAGACTGGGAAGAATATGGCAACAGCAGCAATGGTGGATATGAGGACTTACAGCAGAATCAGACTAATATCTCCCCAGCTATTCCTATCATCATCACAGCAGTCTACTCTATGGTCTTTGTGGTAGGCCTGGTGGGCAACTCCCTGGTTATGTTTGTCATCATAAGGTAAGTAGAATGAAAATCAATTATGTAAGCCTAACTCATGAAAAGGAGACATTCTTATTGCAGGAAGACGAGATCAATGAAGGGAAAGAATGTAAGAAAATCAGAAAGCTAACTGTCCTGATTAATTACTGCATCCAAAGGGGACAGTCTGTAGTGTGATGGTAAAGTATATGTTTTGGACTCAGAAGGTTGCCTTTTTGATCCCTAACAAATTGAGGTACAATGGAAAAAGTCTCGCCTTAAGTCCAGGATTCTGCTAGGAGCAATAGTATTGTGGCTAACTTTGTTAATATTTAAATGTCAAGATTCTTCATGAGCTGCTTAGTGGAGTCACATTAGAGAATAATTGACAAATGGGTATATGGGGATGGTTGAGGTAAGGACTGAAGGGAGAGAAAATTATTTCTTCCCAGAGGTGTTACCTTCTGTTTTGTTTAGCTGGTGCAGCAAGTGGATAGCTCTTCTGGACACCCAAGGGAAGTAGGAATGGCCATTAGTAATACCTGGAAAGGACACCTTCATTGAATTCCCGGACTGTTATAAAACTGGGAAGTTGAAAGACATTCCATAAAATGATACCGGCAAGTCACTTTTGTACTGTTGATATGAAACCACAGGGATCTATTTAGTTAGCGAGAAGTTGAGCATTTGCTATAAAAGATGTAATCTCTGTTTTGGATTAGTGTAGTACACCAACTAAGGGGAAATTGCCTAAATGTATTTAGTATCAGATCTGCTTTCATTTGGAATATAGAGAAAACTGAAATGGAAAAGTGATGATAATTTTTAAGTGATCAGCCTGGACGGTGTGACAGTTGAAAAGCACTGCAGAAATATGTGGCTAGAGCTCCCCCCAGGGATAAAAATGTCATTTATATTATTACTAATTTTATATGAAATGAAATATGCATGTTAATTATTCTATTTATCAGTCATCTTTCTAATGATCTCCTTAGCTTTCAAATAATCTTCTTTTTATTCTATATACTTTTTAAAACAAAACATGACTTATAATGAAATTCACCTAAAATGCTACATCTGTGCAAGAAAACACCCCCTAACCTCACTCATTTCCTTATATATGTGAACAAATTTATAAGCATGAAGTTATTCAGCTAAGGAGAGGTTCTATCTCCAGACCTTCCTAATCTCAATATACATTTCTGATGCTTAGAAATTTATCAGTGATCTACCTTAAGGATTTGTGGCTTATCTGGAGGGAGGGGGAGAATTGGGCATGGTAACGGAGCTATATATCTAATCAGTTGCTTCAAAATGCATTGAATTTTGAGATGGCATTTTTTCATATAGATTTACTGAAGTTATATAAAGTGTTCTGGGCTCTTTTGGAGCAAAAATAGCCTACAACAGTGTTTCTCAACCATGGTGACTTTTAAGATAGGGGTGGTGGACTTTGATTCCACAAGCTGGGGAGCTGGGGAAACTGTGAGTTGAAATCCACCTTCCTTAAAATTGCCTAGGCTCAGAAATATTGGCCTAGAAGTTATTAAAATAAATTCAAGAATGGAACATGGGAAGTGTAGTAAGCATCCAGTTGTCTGGCTGTTCTATGCTAGTCCATGGAGTCTAGAGAGAGTCCTGTGGAGTTTAGCTTAACAGAATTATCTGGTCACTGGGAATGGACTGGATTTTAATCAGGATTTTGTACCCATGTTTCAGGTTTGAGTCAGTTTCTAGATTTAATGAAATCATTATACGTAATTTTGCTTCATAAAAGAATCAGTGTGGATATACTTCTGTTCCAATGTGCGTGGTGGAAAAATGGTGGTGACAAAACATTGCAGTTAGTAAACTGAACAAAACCTGAGATTACCCCCCTTTCAACTCTTTAAATCAGTTTCTGCAGTTTTTATTTAATTTAAGCATTAGTGCTCAAGGCATTTCCTAAATCCAACAGTAATCTAAAAAGTCATTTTTCTAAAAGTGCTAGCAATCATATGGAATGACATAGGAGAAATCTTGCCAATAAGTAAGAAACTATATTTTCTACCTTAAAGTCATCTTTAAGTTGAAGCTGATTCTGGTGCTTAAATCAATACACTGATATTGCTTTCTTGGCAAAAAGGATTAACAATTTCCTTCTTTTGAGATGCTTCTTAGTCTAATTTATGGTCTAGCTTCATTTTGTATTTTTAATACTTTTAATACTTTCTCTTCCTGCATTTGCACACAATCTATTACTTGTGATAAATTTATAGCATACTTGCTACTTTGATTAAAAACTTTAGTCTCATCTATCATGGGGTATTCAAGTTCTGCAGCTCATTCTCAGCTTGAAATCCAATAAAAAGTGTTGATAAATTAGAAATAAGGCACATGGTGAAAATATTTAAGAATAACATTAAACAGAGAACTGTTCATTTTCTAACAGAGATCATTCTAGAGAAATGCCCATATAATAATCCTATTGTTAGGGGGGTGTCAGATCTATTTTTCCATCACTTCTGATGTAACAGAGTTGTAATTAAAGAGGAGGAGATACAAACATAGAATTCAAGATCTCACTCTGATTTGGGGATAGGAAAGTGCTGACATGAAATTGCAATTGACTGAACTCTTAATTCTTCAGTTTTTTGAACTGACATCCACTGTTAACCTGTAATCAGTGTCTCACTTCCTTCAGGAAAGCTCATGATTTTGTTTTGCTTTGAATTCTGCTTCTTGATCATTTAGCAAACCTTCAATCTCAGAATTATCATCCCCAAAACTGGCAATTATTTTCTGAAATAACGTAGCATTGTACAGATGCGTGTACTAGATACAAACTTTAATCAACAAGCCACTCTACCTTTTACTGAGAATCTAATCTTTGTTGGTGACTTGCAATCACTTTATGTCTTAGAGATCAACATTCCCAGATTCCACAGATTCCATAATTCCTTACCTCACATTTGGCTATATTGACTCAGGAATATGGGACTTGAAATTCAGGACTCCAGATTCAAGCTATTTTCAACAAACACAGCATTTGGGAGTTTTCCTTTTATCATTAGAACTTCAATAGAGTACAACATTCTACTACAAATCTGTGTTTCATTCTTTCCCAAAAATTTCCTTTGATTCCATGAGGCTCTAAAGCCATGCTAAATTAATAGCATTTAGAATAGAATAGAATACTTTATTGGCCAAGTGTGATTGGATACAGAAGGAATTTGTCTTGTAAATACTCTCAGTATACATAAAATAAAAGATACGTACATCAGGAGTTGAGAATCATAAGGTATGACACTTAATGATAGTCATAGGATACAATAAGCAATCAATAGTACCAGGAAACAGTCAATATAAATCGTAAGTATACAAGCGACAACGTTACAGTCATACAATCACAATTGGGAGGGGATGGGTGATAAGGAGTGATGACAAGATTTAACAGTAATAGTAGTGCAGACTTTGTAATAGTTGAATAGGGTTGAGGGAATTATTTGTTTAGCAGTGAAAAAAACTGTTCTTGTGTCTAGTTGTTCTAATGTGCAATGCTCTATAGTGTCGTTTTGAGAGAAGGCATTGAAACAGTTTATGTCCGGGATGTGAGGGCTCTGTAAATATTTTCAAGCCCTCTTTTTGACTCATGCAGTATACAGGTCCTCAATTGAAGACAGGTGGGTAGTAATTGTTTTTTCTGTAGTCCTATATACTCTCTGAAGTCTGTGTCTGTCCTGTTGGGCTGCAGAACCAAACCAGACAGTTATAGAGGTGCAGATGATAGACTCATTCCTCTGTAGAACTGGATCAGCAGCTCCTTGGGCATTTTGAGCTTCCTGAGTTGGCACAGAAAGAACATTCTTTGTTGTGCTTTTTTGATGATGTTTTTGATGTTAGGTGTCCATTTTAGGTCATGTGATATAGTAGAACCTAGAAATGTGAAGGTCTCTACTGTTGATACGGTGTTGTCTAGTATTGTAAGAAGTGGTAGTATTTGCAGCTGCATTTGCTCCTTTCTTTTTTCCATCAATTATAGATGCTTTTAAGAAGTTACCATGGTTCCATTTTAATTAACTGAAACACAGTCTGGCTTCATGGGCAAGCTAGGGAATTTACATATGCTGTCAAATGTGAGATACAGTATCCAGTGTGTGGAATTCTACTGAGCTGTAATAGTTCCACACTGCTAGTATTTCCTAAGTACAAATACTTAGGAAATCTCTAGTCCAAATGTTTTCTCAGCCATGAGAGGGTGAGCTAATTCCCAGCCACCTCTCTCCTACAATATGGGGATAATGTGCATTATAGTTAAACACATAAAATCATTTAGCACATATTTTTGATATCTTCTCTGACAAATTAAATAGACGCAATGGAAAAAAGGGGCAATTATGTTTAAATAAAGGCTAGAGATTTATGACAGGTCAAGTTGAAAACAGTTCAATTAAGTGATGCTTGACATCCCTCCCTCCCAAATTTTGCAATCTGCAGATAGCAAGAAAAATCAAAATCTCACAGAAGTCAAAGCAAGCCATCTGGTGGCTTCCAGTGATGTTGTGCCTAGCTTCTGTCGCTGTGTGCCTGGCTCTCTTTCTCACAAAGGGCAGCAGCATCTAGTAGCTGCTGAAAGAATGCTGGCTTCTCTTGCTCTTGCTGTGACAATGCACTTCATGAGCTTAACTCATCTTTCTAACAAAGGTGGAATTGGAAAAGGCATATGCAAACTGCAATGAAATAGAAGAGCAGGTAGACTTGAGAAATGGGAACAATGCTCAGAGTTGGGCATCGGGAATTCTTTCTAGTGTAACTAGAGACACCTAGCATTGGGCTTGCATTATTTCAGAATATTGTTTATCCAGCCAACTACTTTCCATACCACAAAACTTCTCATCAGTGAAAAGTTCAGGAGACAATGAAGAGAATCAAGCTACAGTCAGTCTACAATTACACAGTGCTTCAGACAGCTGGGCAACTAGAGCATTTCCACAAACATCTATCAATTTGGTTTATGGCTTAATATTTATAACTCTGCTTCTTTGGCTATGGCTGGTCTCCTCCTCCTCCTGTTCCTCCTCCTGTTTTCCTTTCTTTTTCCTTTTTTTCCCTTCTCCATCTTTAAATATATTATATATTTAATCATTATTAATGGAGCAGAACACAATTGGGCATTTGAAATATGGTAGACAAAAACATTGGGGAGAAAAATTTCCACATTTCTTTGTAGGGAAGAGAAATTCTTCAAAAAATTCACAACATTTTACCTCTTTGAGATTAAAAAAAAAAAAGCCGATAAGTGTTCCTCCAAGAGTCACTGGATATGCAGGATGCAATAATTATTGAAAGAGCTAATACTTCAAAATTATGAGGATGGAGCTTGCAGATAGGCTACTGGGAAGTGAATGTAATTACATTACATATATCCTCATATTCAGTCTTGTAGAACTGAACCCGACTTGCTTGTCAATTGTTTGTAAAAGTTTAATGAATCTAGAATTATACCAAGGGAATCCAAGGAAAAGGGCTAAAAGTAAGAAATGTTGCAAAATGGGATTTGTTGGTGCTGGTGTTGTAGAAAATATAATGGAAGACCTTCATGACTAATTTTGAAATCAAATCTAAATAAATGAGCTATGATGTACATGGTTGGCAACTGTGAGGCTCATCCTTATACAGCTGCTGAGAAGGAATGAAATAATTTTTTCCAGCAAATAGGTAGGAGAAACATAAGAAAGACAGGTAATGATGTTGAGGGGGAAAAATAAAATACATTTTTACTTCTATTGCTATTGGATTAATATCTATACCAGGAGTGGGAAATCTATGCTCCCCCCCCCCCATTGTTGAATTACAATTAGTAGCCCTTTTCACCATTAGCTATACTAGTTGGAGTTGATGTTCAAGAAGACCTTAATGTTCCCATCCATCTTCTACAGGAAGGCTGAGGGTTGGTGATCCCTAGCTCTGGGTATTTTTCTAATGCATTTTTGATTATGGCAATCATACTCATAGGGAGGAAGCCATTGCTATTTTAACATTCTTTTCATAGCAGAGCCTTCATTGGAAATCACATTTCCATCTTATTTAAATTTGAAGAAAATGACTCAAATTTCAAGTTGTAATGGACAAGGCACTGCAGCATTATGGACCTGCTGCCTCAATGCTTTGGTCAATGTAATAATGGTACCAATGGCAGCGTGACTCATTCAGCAGTTTTGTGTTTCCCTTGTTTCTCAGTCCCAGCTGAACCAGGTTGTTTTTTAAACTGGAAGAACAGCTGGGTATCATCAGGCTTGGATATTTTCCCCCTCAAATTATCTTATATGCTGTCAGTAATGTGCATAATTTTCTAGGTTTTACCTGACAAAACTTTCAGGTTTTATGGCAAAAATCAACTTCTGATGAGATTTTAGAGAAGAAGGGAAATGATTTTATATTCATAATCATACATTCACTTTAGAAGCTCTATATTATATTAGAAAATGCAGAGGATAAGACCCCCTCCCCACTTTGCCTTAAATACCTTAATACAAATGAGAACGCACTAAAAGTAGTAGTGGGATTCAAAAAATTTTACTATCGGTTTTGTGGGTGTTGCTTGGTGGGCATGGCAGGGGAAGAATACTGAAAATCTCCATTCCCTCCCCACTCCACTAACCCAATTCCCAGCCCCATTCTCCTGTGCACGGTAACAAAAGAAGACCCAGCTGATCAGCTGGGACTTGGGAGGCAGAGAAATGATGGGGGTGGGCCAGTCAAAGGTGGTATTTGCTGGTTCTCCAAACTACTCAAAATTTCCGCTACCAGATCTCCAGAACTGGTCAGAACCTGCTGAATACCATCTCTGACTAAAAGTAAGAGGGATATTTTCTTATCTCACCTCAAATGTATTTATAAGACAGAGGAACTGAACACATGTCATCCAGTAATTAAACTTTCATTGAAATCTGTTTTTGTCCTAGATTTAGAAAAGTATGGCAAGGCCTGCATGATTCTCCATGTAATATTAGAATGTCTTGAAATCCTTCAAAATCAGAATCAGGTGGTACCTGGATCCTTTGATCTTTCTTAAAGGCCATGAGATTCAGATCCATTGCTATTTTAATTTTAGTATAATGGAAGCAAGCTTCTATAGTAGACATGAAAATTAGGTTGAGTTCAGTTATGGAATCTGAAGACTTTTGCATAAAAACAGACAGCTCTGTTTGGCCTCTTGTAATACATTATCAATTGTATATGCCAATCCATGTGAAGCAGTTTTACAGACCTATTATTTCTGTCTTTTTCACTAATGCAAATGAAAATATTATTTTAAAAAGAAGAGAAAGATACTATGAACAAGAAAACTATTAGATTGGAATAGCATGGTGCTTCATAGGGATTATTCAATAATTCAAAGGAATTATTGTAAGAAGTACTATGTACAATCATAGTACTATGCTACTGACTGAATATTCTAAATATTAGGGGGAAAACCCCCCATGATTTTTTCTCTCTCTCTCATTCCCAGGGTAGTTACCACCTTGGGATTTCTAGATGTTATGGAAGTAATGTAATGATATGAGCAGCATTACTCTGTTATTAGGCCCACTTAGCATTTGATAAAACAGTCCTGACTAATGCCTATGGAGTTAAATATTGATTATATTATGATAACTGCATTTTGCTTTGTTTTAAAGAAAACAAATCCTACATTTTACTTGTTCTCAACAGAGAATGTTATATTTTCATTTGCTACAAATAAATTTTGTTGTTTTATGGTAGCCTAATTTGCATACTCTAATTAAACCACTCATTAATTCACTTCTGCTTGTGGCAAGTAAAACTTAATTGTTAACAGGGCATTGCAACATTAAATCAATTAAATCTTGGAGTAAAATATTCAGTTATTGATACTGAAGGTTGAGGTAACCACCATCTTTGTTGCCTTGTTTTTTCTCTAGAAATATTCTCTCAAACTTCATGACCCAACAAAGCAGAAATCATGCAGAAAGCTAAATGATTGTCCTATTTACAATCCACTTTTCTCAAAAGTATTCAACTTTATGGAGTTCACGTCAATCAAGATATTTTGTGTGGCAAAGGAATGTAAACAAATATGAAATAGATTCAAACAATATAACCATAGCATCCTTTGTTTGGAGGACAAAAGTATTTTACCTTTCTTCAAAGAAAATGAAGCAAAAATTACTTTCCTTATTTAAAACAAATGTTTTTAATAACAATTTATTAATAATTGGTGTAATAACAGCACGTAATGGAGCAGAATTTATCCTATTGTATTCATTCATCAAAACAGTGATTTGTGTTGATTTATATCTATCCCCAGTTACCTCTAAGTCTGGAGGTAACTTCTGTATGTTAGGCTTCAGCACTGACTCTATGACATCATCATGGTGAGCAAGGGCAGCTGCACCACCATATGGAAAAGCAGACCATATGTAAATGAAGGCATGTGCTTTGTTCCCAGAGATCCCCATGTGTTTTTATTTTTGCTAAAATATTCCCCCATCAGACCCTCAAATATAAACAAAAGACCCTCAAATAATAAACAAAAAGTATTACCTTGAAGTAAGCAGTTTGGAGTATACTGTATGTGTGCGTGTGTGCATTCTATGCAAAATAGTGATGTTTTGTAATAGTCTCTGTATTAAATTTATGGAAAAATATTTAAAAGTGCTTCTTCTGTTTTAGGTACACAAAGATGAAGACTGCAACAAACATTTATATTTTTAATTTGGCTCTGGCAGATGCTCTTGTCACCACAACTATGCCTTTTCAAAGTACTGAGTATTTAATGAACACTTGGCCCTTTGGGGATGTGCTATGTAAAATAGTCATTTCAATTGATTACTATAACATGTTTACGAGCATATTTACCCTGACCATGATGAGTGTAGATCGCTACATTGCTGTGTGTCACCCAGTGAAGGCCCTGGACTTTCGTACTCCTTTGAAGGCCAAGATCATCAATATATGCATCTGGGTCTTATCTTCATCTGTAGGCATCTCAGCTATAGTTCTTGGAGGTACCAAGGTCAGGGAAGGTGAGTACAAATGCCAATTTTATATGTAGACTGTAAAACATTTGGGTATATTTTATTGTGGATTCTTAAGTCAGTTCTGTGTGTTTTTCTAATTTACTCAGAATTAGCAAAAATAATTCTATTTCTGAGAATCCCTCCTTTGAATCCCTCCTGTAAGCCAGGAAATTGATTCCACTAGAACACTCTTTATTGTTATAGGATATAATAACAAAATCTTGAAAGCCTGCCACAATTTCCTTCTGTCCTCTCTTATGCAATGCAGAAACAAGGCAGAATTATTTAAAGTCTCCTTCTATCTTTTCTACCTTCCCATGGACTAAATTTTATTTACAGTCTCTTTTGTCTGTTAAGAGATCTTACATTTCTTTATCAACATTATCTTTACCTCCTTCTACCATTAAAAAAGAAAGCTTCCCTAGAGGTCATAGCTTCAGAGAATTTTATTTTATATTTTATATTATTTATTTTTATTATTTTATTTTTAAAATATTTATAGAATCACCCATCTTTCAACCAACTCTGGGCATCTCCCAACCAAATGATTTAACTATCTATTACAAACATATGAAAAGAACAAGGGCTCAGATTTTTACACTACTCAATACAATTCTGGTTAATAATACTGTTCAAAAATTTTAGGCTGGATTATAAATGAGAAGAACATCATGGCAAATCATAACATGGTTTCTCCTGATTTGACTTAATATGCTGTAATTTAATCAATCCATGACTTAGTCTAGAGCTGTGATGGTGAACCTGTGCCATGCATTCCGGAAGTGGCACACAGAGTCATTTCTCCGGGCATGTTAGCCATTGCCCACTGTTCTTCCGAGTTCCGGCAATGCATGCACACCAGCTGGCTTGTCTTTGCACGCATGGGAGCACTGGAAACTAGAAGAACAGCTTTTCTGGCCCACATATGTGTGCCGGCCAGCTGGTTTTCATGCATGTGGGAGCACTGGAAACTGGAATATCAGCTCCCCAGGGCGCATGCGTGCACTTGTCAGCTGGTCTTCACATGTGAGGGAGCGCCAGAAACCGGAAGAGCAGGTGCCCAGAGTGCATGTGCGTGCTGGCCAGCCAGTCTTCGTGTGTGCATGCATGTTAGAAACTGGAAGACTGGGTGGCCAGTGTGCATGTGTGCGCCAGGAAATTAAGCTTCCAGTTTCCAGTATTCCTGCATGTGTGCGTCAGGAAGCTGCTCTTCCAGTTTCCGGCACTCCTGTTTTGGCACTCGGTGCCAAAAAGGTTAGCCACCACTGGTTTAGTGCTACCAGATCTGGATTGCAAAAATCTGGACAAACATCAGATGGCAAGGAAAGAATTTTAGAATCTTTTTTTTTTTCAGAATCCTTTTTCTCCCTGCTATGTACTCAGAGTTTGTTCTGTTTATTTCTGAATGTCTGGTGATCATCCAGATTTTTGAAGTTTAAGAATTAAATTAATTTTTTAAAAATGAAATAATCCATTCACCAGGAAAATAATTTCAGTTGGAAGTACTGAACTGACTTATTATGCTTTTCAGAACCCCTCTGTTGACTTTCACATAGTCTCCAAATCAAAATTTAGCATAAATAGCTATAGTATTATATACCGCTTTACGGTGCTTTACAGCCCTCTCTAAATAGTTTACAGAGTCAGCCAGCCTATTTCCCCCAACAATCTGCGTCCTCATTTTACTGACCTCGGAAGGATGGAAGGCTGAGTCAACCTTGAGCCAGTCAGGATTGGACTGCTAGCAGTTGACAGAGTTAGCCTGCAATACCACTATGGCTCTAAAGAAAAGCTATTTATCTAGCGGTTATAGTTAGCATTTACCTTTCTCAAAACTAGTACATGATATGACAGCGAACTATGGAGGCAAAATGTTTTGAATTGCCCCGTTTCCAGCAAAAATAATTGTTTCAAAGCAATTCTGACTTTTTGGGGGGGATGATGTATCGTATTTGAAACAAGTTGGTTTTAAGTTCAAATGGGCCCTCTGAAATAAACAGGGCTATTTCAAGAACAAAATATTTTGAATTTCAGATGTTTTTCCCACACTCCTATAACCACATTCCAAGCAACAATATCTGTAAATACATTTTCCATAGTTCCTGAAAAGAAGAATATGTGATTTAGCATACACCAAGGATAAGAATACATTGGATCACATTATATTAATTTCTATAGTCCATGCTTCATTAATCTCAAAGTGAATATGTATGCTGGAATAATATCAATAGGTATTTTTAAAGTTAAACTTCATTATAATTACTTTTAAAATATTTGTATTATTATATATTTTATTTTGTACTAGTTTCCTAAATATTTTAATATTGATAATAAAATAATAATGAAATCATTTTGTATGTTCACTTGTGAGCCACAAACTGGCTGTTCTTACAGTAAGCCACATCATGCTACTTTAGGTATACAGTAAGTATATGCATAAAAATAAATTTTGATCTGAATATACTAGTATGGAAGAAAGTTACATGTCTACATGTAAAAAAATATTCCCTGTGGCAAACAATTACTTTTAGATTGCTCTGTGAGAGGGTCCAAAGTGTTATCCTGGATATCTGAAAGTGGTGAGGAAATATACATATAGTGGAGAAATTATGTACATTATGCAGTTTATATCCACTGGATTAAAGGTATATTATTTTAAAAACTGCGTTCTAAGCACTGGCATATCAATTTAGTTAAATCACAGGCTAAAGGAGAGAAGGGAGTAAAGAGGCATTTCAGCACGGAGTTGCTCCATGGAAGCAAATAACACATGCCAGGTTAGTGAAGCTGTCCTCTACTGGTTCCCAAGAAAATACATTCAGTATGGCAAGACACTTGTAAAACAGGTGATCCACAATAAAGAAACTGCTTTGGCTTTTTTGTGGGGTTGTTCTGGTTCCTTGAGCCTGACACCAATTGAAAACCTAAATTAAACTAAAAAATGAGTAAAATAAAATTAAACTAAACCACAGTTGATGTGCTGATGTCCTAGGTGTCCGATTTTTCCCCCCTTTTCTGAGATGTTTTCTTAAATATTATAATCATACCCATGATTTTGAGACCAACAAGCTTCAAGCTGCACGACTGTCTAGATCAGGGGTGTCACACTGGCAGCTCATGGGGCAGATGAATCATGCACATGCCACTTCTACCTCAGTTCCATGAAGGGGAAACACATCACGACATATCATGTGACAGCAACATGATGCCACGAGTTTGACACCTGTGGTCTCGATGGACCCAGTTACTAATTTTTGTGCACCAAATCTGTGATTTTCTTGGTAAAAGGCACTTTTAAGAAAACAAATGAGTAAAACCCATTTTTCTTTTTATTCAGTTGAGTGAGCTGATGCATTATAACAGCAAATATAATATTTTGTTCTCATTTCTCAATTTCTCAGCTGCACTTGCCCACTTACATAACTCTTTAAAAGCTATGGCTTACCCTTCTAACCACTTCAGTTCATTATTGCAGTAGGATTGCCTGAAATTAATACACTTTTGAAATACATTTGCAAAGTTCATCCATGAACATCTGCATAAGTATCAATACTCTAGTGAGTGTTTTAGTAAGTAGCAAATCTATTATGGAGATTGTAGGTTTGTACTTAGAAAGGACATATGTAATTAGCAATGATTCTCTAAACTTTGTTTCAATAATGCAATAGACTATTCAATACCCTAACTTATATTCATCCTGGTTCCTTACGTTTTTTGTTTGAGTGAAAGAGCCCCTGTACATTCAAGTAGTTCTTGTCTTACAGATATTTGTTTAGCAACTATTTCAAATTACAACAGCACTGGAAAAAGTGACTTGTGAACATCCCTTGCATTTATACCTGTCACAACGGCCCCATGGTCATGTGATCGAAATTTGGGTACTTGGCAGGCAGCAAAAGGCTTCTAACAAGCAAAGTCAATGGGCTAAGCCAGATTCACTTAATGACCATGCCAATCACTTAGCAATTATAGTGATTTGCTTGACAACAATGGCAAAAAAGTTCGTAAAATCGAGGACGAGTCACTTAACAACTGCCTTGCCTGCTAATGGAAATTCTGGTGCCATTTGTGGCTGTAGGTTGAAGACTACCTGTAATTATATCCTCTGAATTTTACTGGGAGAAACTCGGTAAACATCTTGCAGATTTTATTAGAATTAATTTCCATTTGTAGGCCATAATGGAGGAGAGTTTCCATGTAAACTTCAACTTAATCAGTGGAACCCATATCCAGGGTATATTAAAATATGCCTGTTAACATTTCACCTCTGATTTGCAAGAATGACACAGGCAATAAAACAGAAAAGCAAACTTTATGAATCTTGCCTACAGAGCTTGATTTTAGCCTCCAAAAGTGATATGACTTTGAATCATTGTAAATTCTATGCTATTTGTTTTTTCCTGAAATGCTTAATTTAACATATTCATTTGTTTTCTTCTTATGTGTCCCTTTATGTGCAGATACCGGAAGCATTGAGTGTTCTCTTCAGTTTCCAGATGATGACTATATCTGGTGGGACATCTTTATGAAAATCTGTGTATTTGTCTTTGCCTTTATTATCCCAGTCCTAATTATTATAGTTTGTTACACTCTGATGATCCTGCGCTTGAAAAATGTTCGGCTCCTGTCTGGATCGCGAGAAAAAGATCGAAACCTCCGCCGTATCACCAGATTGGTTCTTGTTGTAGTTGCAGTTTTCATTATCTGTTGGACCCCCATCCACATTTTTGTGTTAGTTGAGGCTCTTGGAGATGTCTCACATAGCACTGCAGCCATTTCTAGCTACTATTTCTGTATTGCATTGGGCTATACCAACAGCAGTCTAAATCCCATTCTTTATGCTTTTTTGGATGAAAACTTCAAGCGCTGTTTCAAAGATTTCTGCTTTCCTTTTAAGATGAAGGCAGACAGGCAAAATACTGGCAGAGTTAGAAACACAATTCATAATCCTGCTCATGCCGGGCACATTGATGGTACAAACAAGCCAGCATGACTAGTTGTGGAAATGTCATCATATTGTCCTCCTGGAAGAGAAGAATCCAATGATCTTGGATTAACACAAATAACTACAGCAGTGTGAAATGGACAGTAAAAGGGCCATTTGATCTTATTTACAAAGCCCCAGTTTCAACTAAAATATAGCCACCAAGATGTCCTTCACCTATGTTCACTGATGATAAATTCTGTTTCAACAGAGCTTTGTATATAGCAAAGTAGTCATCTGTGGAAGAAGAAGAGAACTAGTTTCTTCCCCATTTTTGACCCTTTATGTATGTTTTATGTGGATGTTTTAATGATTGCCGAAAATTTTGTTAGGAGTAATGTGATTTCAACATATCACTAGTTTTATTGTACTTGTCAGAATAGCAACTCAGCATTTCCTTTTATTGATTATATTGACTGAGTATACATTTTCAGCTATTTATATGGCCATGAATAATACAAAAAATATGTGGCATCTAGCCTTCTATTTCAATGGTTTGGAAATTTCTTCTGAACGGATTCACACAGTACTGTAATGATTGATATGATGATAATGTGTCATGTGATCAATGGAAGCATTTTAATTATGGATTTATTTTCAGTGAATAGCTTTTAACTAGAGGGAACATCATATATGATGATTAAGGTTATATGAACGTTATTTATTTAAGGAATTTGTATTGTACTTTTGGGTGCCCTAATATTAATGGGCTATAGCTTAGTGAAAAAAATTGGTATTCATTCTCCAGATGATATAATGAAGTGTCAAGTAGTTAAAGACTTTATTAAACCTGATGGACAACCAACCTGACCCAAACAAAACTCACTGAATGGTACAATCCTAGGTGTCTATTCCAGAATGTGCATATATTGATCCAAAACTGTTAACATATAAAAAATAGGGATCAAATATTAATAAACATATCTAATGCGATTATGATATGCAGTCAAATCATAGAAATAGAAGATCAAAGATCCCATTAGTTTCTATCAAATTAATTCATCTCATTCACTAACAAAGTTTATAAGTGAGTGCAATTTTGTTAAGATGAACCATAATGGAAATACTTTTATCAAAAACAAACTAGGTTGTTTATTCTTTGTAATATAGATTGAAAAAATTCTATTGAAAAAGAGATTGGATGCTCACATATGGCTTTTTTGAAGTGTGGACTTTAATCTTATTTTGGAACTCAAATATTTTTAGTCACCCCTATCAATCTAGTATTTTTCTTTTAATATGTCTAAAGACCAGAAGAAAGCTATGTGTAAACATGTACATATGCCTAGAGCTTTGTGAGTTGCATATGTTGTTGTTGTTGTTGTATTCACTTTGCTTCAGATGCTTCTGGGTTTATATGGAAGCCTCTTCTCATTACGGCAAAAGAGACAACCACATTGTGGCATTGAACCTAATTATTTGAGGACCACCTATGCCTGATAGTTTCTGCCCATCCAGTAAGATCCAGCAAATAATGCACTTGAGGTTCCCTCAATTAAGCAATGCCATAGCATGGTATCATGGAGACATGGCTTCTTGGTCTAACCCTTGTTCCCTCATTTCCATCCCAAAGATTGAATAGTTCCCACCAGAATGATGTTCCAAAAAGTATTGAAAAGGCTTTTCTCCCAGGCCTTGTGGTAGAATAGCTGGTGGACTTTTTAAGATTTTGTCTTGTTAAGTATGTTTTGTTTTTCCTGAATGTGATATATTTTTCTTTCTTTACTATTCTGGCTTTGTATAATGTAAATTGTTGAGAGTTGTTTGGATGTGAGCATTCATTAAATATATGTCAATCTATCAATCAATCAAATCGGGATATGATGATCTTGAGGTGTCATGGTGGAACAATTAGATTTTACAATTTTACAGATTGGAACTTGGCAATATTTGGCTTCAGGATAATGTATTCATTGCTCTTTCACATAGTTTTAATGTTTTGCATAGTAGCCCTTTTATAACAGTGCTGATCATGTCCTTTCAAAATTTGCTTACCAACCTGTAATGAATTGAGATCCCTATTCTACCAAGAAGCCTCAACTAGAAATACTTGTTAAATATTAAAACAATAAAAAGCATGTGCCATTTTTTAAACTGTTCAATATATCCTTTACTATATAGGTCAACTGTTGAGGATAAGGAAAGATAATTAACTTTCTCTCACAGTTGTGATCCTCTTGAAAATAGGTTTTCTCCTTGAAAATATTATTTAAATGTTTAAAATGTGCATCATCATTGTATTAACTAACTTCACATTAATTTTTTAAAATTATTTTTTTAAATTGAGTTACAGAGAGAAACATGTAGGTCACTTGGAGTCATTATTTTGCATGTAGTAGTTTCTAACAAGCAAATATATAACAGTGAGAACTTATATTAACCAAACTTAATAATAATAAATAATGGGCTTACCCAACACAGCAGCCAATACGATAGATATAATGTAATTGGAATTGACAAGTGGAGAGTCAGTTTCAAGAAAGGAGGATCCTAGTGGGAGAATCAAGAGACTTTTATGGTCATGTTCCAATTCCACTGTGGGCTGCAGTGGAAGATGCTGGGCCTGTGCACTTCTGGGTCTGTGCACTGCTGTAAGATGCTGGGCCTGTTCACTGCTGAGATCGGCAGCTCGGCAGTTCAATTCCTGTGAGTGAATAAACCATGCAGGGACAAGAAAGGAACCTCTGCTGAATGCCTACCAGCATTCAGGCGTCCCATGGGTAAAGATAACACCACCTGAAAAAATTCCTTTCACAGAGGTAGCCAGCCACCTTGGGGTGATCCCTGGCTAACACGTGCCATACACTAAATAAAATCCACTGTGGCATTCAGTACATTTAGTTCAATGTCAAAGGGACAAAGCAAGTTCAAAGAACAGTGGGGAAATAGGAGATTTCAGGAACTGACTTATCTTAAAAAAAAACCAAACATATAGAATTCAGCCAGAGACAGAGAAAGCAGAATTTTTTTTTAAAAAAACCAGAGATTAATATACAGCCAGGCTTCTCAGTATTGGAAGAGGACAAAGGGATTTGCAGCGCAAAGCTGAAAAGAACAAAACTTCTTGCCAAATAAGAAAGTGATAAAAAAGATGTTTTATTTCTATTATGTTTTGTGAAAACCCAATAAAACTTTTACTAAAAATAATAATATAAAGTGATAGCTTCAGTAAGGTAGTATTCACACTCACAGGGGTATGTGCTAAGGGTGAGGGAATGCACTGCATGAGTTCAACTTAGTATATAATAAAAAGAAGATAGTACCTTAATTTCGGGAAAGAGAGAGAGGAATTTCTGAATCAAGGAGGAAGAGAAAGTAGGGGAAAAACATTTTCTGGCAACATAGTTTTCCTGTGCAAATTTATCTTTAAAAAAAGAGATTCCCCAACAGACAAAGGAAGTATTGAGAAAGGTACCACTCTAAAGTGCAGAGGCAAAAATATTGCTACTGAGATGTTCTCAAGTGAGAAAAGGCAAAAGGAAATGTCAGAAACTAACAAGACACAAGGAGGAGGAGGAGGAGAGGAGGAGGAGGAGGAGGAGGAGGTGGAGGAGGAGGAGGAGGAGGAAGGGAAAAGGGTGATAACTGGATTGCTCCAAAGATAATGCTTCTGCAGATACCCTTATAATAAGAAATCTTTGGGAAACCTTGTGGGAAAGTTAGCCTGGGTCACATTATTTTTTAATATTAGGGGATCAGGAAGATTTCTAAGGATACCCTACTTTGTTGTCAGACTGTGGTCTTTTGCCAATTAATTAGCAATTAATTAGCTTCCTTCTATACCATAAGAATCCCAGCTTCAGAGAAGTGAGCTACTTGCTACAAGGATAATTTCTGGCTTGAGCCAACTATTAGGGTTAACTATTGCATTGGGCCACATTGCAGGAAGCATTTTGGAGAAAGAAGATGACTAATGGGTTAATGGGAAATGGGAAAATAAGTAGAAAAAAGGATGGATGATTATTAAACAAAATATAGTTGCATTGAAAAGAAAGATCGAAAAACAAGCGGAAGGGAACAAAACTAGAAGAAGTTGAGCCAAAGAAAAGAGAGAGAAGGAAATAAAAGAGAGAAGAGCTCTTCAGGAGCTCAGAGGGGAAGGCAGACAATATCTTCCTTCCAAGCAGGTTAATCTTCAAGTATTCAGGATTTGCAATATTGAAGTCTGCAGTTGCATCCTTTCTTTTCCCACTTCTTCTCTTTTTACTAGCAAGTAGACACTATTCTTTCTAATAATTTAGAGGTAACAATGGTGATGACAGGAGAACCCTCATTTTCCTAGGGATAAACATGGAGATATTAAAGGCCAAAGATGTAGTAGAATTTTATGGCAGGATAACACTGCCCACTTCCAGTGATCTAAGAACTGGAATGATGGCTGCTATCAGTCTGCCCACCTCTTTCTGTTGGAAGCTAACTAATATCATTGCTCTTCGTTATTAATGTAGGTAGTGCATCTTAATCTGCTGGCGAAATACCTCACTCCTGACAGTTCTTTTCCCTTGGTTTCATCTGCTGTTAAAAAGAACCTAAACCTAAACCTAGGTTTGTTTTCTTCTACCTGACCCCAGATATGTGGAATGTGGTGGGTACTCAATGGCAAAGGGCAGTTTATCTCATATCCCCCAATATAATCTAGGATAGGATACACTGGATTCCTGTAGCACCTCTGTATTCATACTAAGGTTCACTATATGTCTTATATTATTAACAGAACACTCTTTCAGCCTCCTCCCCTCTCCTGCAAGTCCTACTATACTGCCTCATTGTGGTTGGGATATTCTTGGGAAGATGAGTTATCAAGCTAAAACAAGCAGACATCTAGAAGGCAATGATAAACCACTCTTTTTTCCAGGAAAACACATGGATAGAACATATAAAATTACTAATAACAAATTTATTCTATGTAGTTAGTAAGAGTCAGTAATGATTTAAGGACATATTAGGAATAGCACATCTGAGACTTCAGATCAGAAGCCCAGTTGTTCTGCCATCTGAAGGTAAGGGCC